GATGCTTATAGATTAAACCTAATTATAATTAGGATAAAACTCAGTCCCACCCACGTAAAATAAACTCTGTTAATTAAAAAATGTTTTGTTTTCAAATAAACTACTGCAGAAAGGTTCCTTCTAACGAAATATACTCCCCTTAGAATTTTTTTTCAAACTGGAGTTCGCTTCGTTGTAGTATTAATAAAGTTATTTTTTATTACAGTACCCGTAAATCACAAATCAAGCACAAAGAATTGTTCCTGTTCGGCGATATTATATTTCTTTACCCACATCGGGATACTTATTGAAATGACAAAAGCACGCAACTGTTGGCATTAAGAAAGCTTTATTTAACTGAGAATACAAGTTTCGCGTATAGTATCCTTTTATAGTCCCAGTAAACAAAAACAGCTCTCTCAAAGAGAAGAGTATCAAAACAAGGGGAGACCACTTTTGATTATTCATAACACTTATTTTGATCAAACAATTTGGGGTGAAACTAAGCACAAACATATAAGCTGATATTTGGGCCGCTTAAAATGAGTGAGAGAACTTTGGTTTTGACTATTTGACTATACTAACCACAGTTATCAATTCTTGACAAAAACAGTCGAAATCCCAAATCATATGGAAGCTATTTTGGTGAAGTAAAACTCCAAGAATTGCATAGACGAAAAAACATAATATGATGGATGATTACTTTGCAGATTTTATGTCGGATCCAAGATTCAAAACCTCCAAATTTTATAGTTTTTAGTAACAAACCGCAACGGATTTATATCCAATTTAAAATTATTAGTTCTTGAATTGGTATATATAGTATTTTGAAGTGGTGTGCAAAAGAAAAATGGCGCCTTCCAATTGTTTCTTTTTGTAAATGAAAATCAAATACTGACCTATGATATCAAATGCTTTTTACATAATCCCAAAATCTTACTACTTTTATACTCAATTCACCTTTACAGACTTTTAAATTTTATTTTCTTACCTGATAATAAAAGCCTAATCCATAATTTGATGATGATGAACGCATCCAACCAAGATTTTCCGATAAAAACATCAGACGTCTTCGAGTGCCATTTTTCGAATTAATTATTGCCAACAAATCTACGCACAGATATTTCTGAAGTGTCACAGCCATTTACGGAAATTATCGCCTTATATAGAAATAAAATTCCACTCGTTTGATATTGTTTATTAAAAGGTGAGTTTTTAAATTATTCTTTGTACTTCGTAAGAAAAGTCATGTTTTTTGGTGGAGATGATAATTGAAGAAACAGAAGACGTGATTTCATTTGCATTAGGTGTGTGCAAAAGTTTCCAGCGAAAAGTCGTTGTTCAACAGCGTATTCAGGGTCTAGTTTTCAAACCTGCGCGCTGTGAAATGTTATATGCACCTTATAATTTACATATTCCCTATTCCAGTTTCCCTGAGAGCTATAATCTCCAGCTATTCGAATGTAATGTCAATCGACATCTCCAGTTGCCCTGATCTATCCACTACCCTTCTACTCATCCTTTTTTCTATCACTCCTATCTGATCTTGCTCGAAATTTTTCTGTAACCCCTTGCGTCCTAGTGGCTTCTCGCCTTGCTTGGGTTGAAATGCTTAAAAATTTATATATATATATACCAAATATGTTAGCTCTATCTCTGATATTGAGCGCTTTCTAATAAGTACCGCGCATATAATATATAAATAATTATACATATATATATATATTTATATTTATATACACTTTTCACATATATATATATATATATATATGTATATATATATATATATATATATATATATATATATATGTATGTGTATATATATATATATATAGATATATATATATATATATATATATATATATATATGTGTATATATATATATATATATATATATATATATATATATATATATATATATATATATATATATATATATATACGTGTGTGTTTGTCCGCCTTTTTTTTCTTTGGCAGGTAGACAATCTCTTGATTTCTGGACATTGGAGGTGATAAGATATCTAATTTAATTTTTATTTATGATTGCTACTTATCCTCAGAGATCCTAAGTCATTTTTTCCTCACATACAGTTTTATCTCTCTTTCTTTCTTTCTAATCTCAGGAAACAAAAGAGAGCAGACGCTCTGGCAAAACGCGTCGTTAATAAATTTTCCACTTTGTGCGTGTATACGTACACACACACGCACACACACACACATATATATATATATTTATTTAAATATGTACATATATATGTTCATATTTAAATATATATATTATGTATTTATAATCATATATATATATATATATATATATATATATATATATATATATATATATATATATATATATATATATATATATATGGTGCGAACAAAGTAACGCCATTTTTATTTATTAACTTTTATTGAGTAAAATAAATTACAATAATTTAAGAAAACTTTAAATTACTGCCACATCAAATGAAGATGATTTGTTATGATTAAAAAATACTATTTAACATGTTCAAAATTTATTATG